TGAAACTGTTTGCGAACTTTCTTGCAACCTTTTGCGACCTTTTACGAACCTTGGCGAAACCCCACATTTGCTACGTTCGCAAGCATTCGCCGCTCAATGAGGTACCCCCTTTAAAGGTAATCATGGAAAAGATGCATTTCTTGTTTTTCAATTTTCAAAATAACTTCATTATTTCCATTAAGTCGGATCTGTGCTCCAAACGATTGTTTCTTCTTCAAAAGAATTTGCGCAATGACTTTGGCCTCAGAGGTGCCGGAAATGAGAAACGATTTGATCAGATTATGAAGGAGTATTTTTCTGAAACTCTGAGGTTTGTAAATCCGTCTCACTGGGGAGATCGACTTTGGGTAGTAATATATAGATTCCCATGAAATTTGTATAGGTCATGCGATATGAACACTCGATAATGAACACAAAATTTGGTGCTAATTACCCTGGGTGGCCACATCAGTATCAATTCTGCTCTTCCTGCGGACTCTGTAATTATTATTATTACCCCTGCATTAACAGGTATCCATTTACACCTTTGTAGAGAGGGCCAAATATGGAAGAAAAAAACCTGTGCAGGGATGTCAGCACCGAGCGAGGATCGAACCCACAACCTCTCCTATATGAGAGTCTTTAAAAAATATACCACAGTGCTCCCTAGTGATATTGTTAACACAAATATAAAGTTTAATCCAGACTCCATTCTCTGTGATTTAACTCACTTTCATGTTAAATATTATATTAAATTTTTCCTAACGCAACAAAAAATGTCCTTTTTTGCCAGTGTACACAGCATAACTTTTACTATGTAGGATAACGAGATAAACGAGATAACGAGATATACGAGAGTTTTGTGATTCTCACAAAGTTAGAAGCACACCAATAAAACCTACCGAACAAATGCCAGAGGAAGTTTATTGAGCCATTCAATATATCAGCCAAAGCAGTATAACTGAATGCTGTGAATATCTTTGAACTGAACCAAGCAGATGTTTTTTTTTAATTATTGCAATTAGATTGCGGGGATGTTACATAGTTTAAACAAAAATCAAAGGGGAATAAAACCCAATAAAATATACCTAAACATGTTGTTTTGCGGATGAAAAGTCTAGGTCATTGAATCAATAATGGCCTTCGATCGGGTACCCTCAGTCATCAAGCTTGGGCTGACAGGGAAATGATCGTGACCTATTTATCAAAGGGTTCTTTGTCTGAGGCCATACTGACGGATATCACGTTTTCATTTTGTAGATCAGTCACAAGAGAATCTCCTTCTCCTCTGCTCTCTTCCTGTGTCTTTACCAGGGTCATTAAATAATACCCATCATACACCTGCTTCAATTCCGATAGAGGTCTGTCATCATCAGCTCGATATTGCCAAATAACCCGCTATTTTGCCTACCCCGATGGCAAATTATCCAGCTAATTTGCGTCCTCATCAGCCCGCAGTTGCAATTAGCGGGATATTTAGTGGAGATAATCATCCCAAGATATCTTGGACTAGTTTGCAAATTGCCCGATGCATCTTCTCCAGCCCGAAGACTCGCACTATATGGGCGAACGCTGAGCAAAATATCTCGAGCTAATTTCTCGAGGTCGAGTCTGGAGCTGATGAGGACGCGATCTGTAACTTCCCAAGTCAGAAATAGTGGGCTATTTGGCAATCTCGAGCTGATGAAAACATACCAGGGTGTTCTCTTTAATCAAATTTTATTGAATCGCACATCCCCATTCAAGTGATTTCCATTTGAGATAATAATTTCATCGAAATTTTTTTCACCGTTGAGGCTGACGAAAAATTCAATGAAACGTCGATATATTGATATCATGTTTTCATGCATTATTAGGGCGATATAATAAAAAAAAAAATCCTCAAGGAAATAATTATTATTGAAGCGCGTGTTTGTGTAAGTGTTTGCCTCTGAAAAGACAGTTTTTCAATAACCATCTTTTTCTCCGGGTCATGAAAATTAGATTGCAAAAAATGAATATTGAGGTCAAGGACGACAATCGGGTATACTATTACCATTTACTCTGCAAAAGGATGACTTTAATAACCAGAAATGAACTTTCATTAAAGATTTATCTTGAAATAAATTTTTGTAGAAATTCAGATTTTAACTAAAAATCCCAAGGCCCATTATTATTAAACAAGTAGGAAATGACGTATGCTAATTATTTTTTGCTAAATAAGAACAAATGGAATGGGATCTCCTTGACATTGACTAATGATAGGAAAATATTATCTTTATTAAGCCGCCAGTGACCATGATGATAGATCGAGCCATTTTCCATGGAGGAAGAGAAAAAGAATTATGATGATGGATCTATGCAGTGCTTTCGGCCTGCGGAAGCCGCCATTAACTATCATGATCCATAAGCATCCCAATTCCTTTCTAAATGGATTCACGAATGTAAAACAAAATAAAAGCTTCGTATGGTCTGAAAGTTCATACCCTTTTTTTTTTCATCCCAGCTCATGGGTTTGTTTCTGGCCACATAGGATAATAAACAAAGGATGTAATATCTCCGAAAAGTTAGATCCGATAATTTTAACTTGAAATAGCATATTGATCCATTAGATATCCAAAGCGACATTCCAGCACGCGTATCCCGCAGGACAAAGTGTGAGCTCCTCCCGTGTCGAATTTGAAATCGCTCATTTTTGTTTGTTTGGGGGGGGGGGGGGGGGGGGCTTTTACGCTCTTTTTGTTAATGTTTTTTTTTATTCTTCGCTTTGTTACATTTTGTTTTTAATTGGAAGATTAATGTTTCGTATCCGCACGTTAGTTTTGAAAACATATCTGTACCCCCTTCAAAGAACCTTTGATCTACCACCGAAAACATCAAATGCAAAAGATGAAATTAGGGCAAAACAAATTAGTAAGCATGAAAAGACCTACCTTGATTACTATTGGAAATGGGTAAACTAGACAAAGAATTGATAATGCTTTGCATAGTAACAGATATGACACTAATTCATACATTTCTAAACACATAATACCATGGATTAGTTTTTTTATCAACGATTACAACAATTAACGCACGCACAAGCACTGCTCAGGTTAAAGTGTATTTTTATCATGTTTATACTTGTAAGTTCCGCTGTTGCACTGTTGATCTGTTTTTTTTATAAATGTTTGTCATTAAATCGAACGCCGTTCTAAGACCAATATTTTCTTCTGATTCTCATACATTGTCAAATACAATCGTGTAGTCATGAGCCTAACCTCGCCGAGCAATTTCATCTCATGGAAAGATACATGAGTATGATCATAATTATTGGAAGTACATTCTCAGTCAATAGGGTGTAACATCGTCGAAGTATCTCACGGTATGAGCAAGTACATCATTCAGAACACATCACTCTAATCAGGTTTGATCTGTGGGATGTTAGATCTATACAGTGTCAATAACAATCATGACATCCAAACCAAGACGCGACGCATCACTGAGTTTTTTTCTTGAATTTATTTGTTTTCTTAAGAAAACAAAAATCAAAAACATAAAATCAGGTGGTCCAATTCAGAACCACAAATAGGAAAAGCAAATATCATATCACAACAAATGAGCTTCATGTAGAAAAAATATCTCTGCGTCAACACGTATTTAGATTATTTAAACAAGAATCGAAGTAAGGAATCGGAAGAAAGAGAAATCGAAAGCTAGTAGATCATTAATGGGTGACCATTGGGCTGGAAACCAAGCTCTTATTCGGTCATGTCAATCACTGTAAAGCGTGTCAGACAAGAGGTCCTCGAGTGAATATAAGAATGTATCAGCGCTCTCTCAAAGAGAGAGGGAGGGAGGGAGAGAGAGAGCGAGAGCGAGAGAGAAAGAGAAGGAGGGAGGGGAGAGAGAGGTAGAGAGAGAGAGAGAGAGAAAGGGAGAGAGTGGGAGAGAGAAAGATAGAGAGGGGGTACAGAGAGAGAGGAGGGACAGGAAGGGAGGGAGAGAGTAAGAGAGACGGAGAGGGAGAGAGGAAGGGGAAGAAAGAGAGAAGAGAACAAGACAGGGAGGGAGAGATGGGGGAGAGAGGTTGAGAGAGAGAAGAAGATAAGATATAGAGAAATAAAGAGAGAGAGCGAGGGGAGAGTAGAGAAAGAGATAGAGATACCAAGAGAGAAGAGAGAAGAGAAAGGGTGGGGGTTTGAGATAATATATAAAGAGAGAGAGAGAAAGAGGGAGGGAGAGAGAGAGAGAGGGAGAGAGAAAGAAAAAAGAAAAGGGATGGAGAGTAGAAAGAGAAAGAGAGAGAGAGATAGAGAGAAAGAGTTTAACGAGGTGTGTCTTGGAAAGACTTGACGTACATTGCTTCAATTCATTTTCAAGTACGTGCTGTAGCACAAGACCTTGGGAACCTCATCTATGAGGCGCCGTTTGTAAAACAATTATATAGGCAAATTATATGTTATATAATCATTATTTAACAAATAATAACCATTATTTACATATAATGCAAGAAAATGTACATTTTTATTTGTATATAATTCTTAACACATTTTTATTATTTATAAATAATGACAAAGAACGTTTCATTATTTATATATAATTGCCATTATTTATAAATAATTACAATTCACACTTTCATTATTTATATATAATAAAAAGCGTATTTCAATTATATAATATATAATGAAAAGCACATTTCCATTATATAATATATAATGAAAAGCCATTTCCATTATATAATATATAATGAAAAGTGTATTTCCATTATATAATATATAATGAAACGCACATTTCCATTATATAACATATAATGAAAAGCGTATTTCCATTATATAATATATAATGAAAAGCACATTTCCATTATATAATATATAATGAAAAGCACATTCCATTATATAATATATAATGAAAAGCACATTTCAATTATATAATATATAATGAGAGGCGTATTTCCATTATATAATATATAATGAAAAGCACATTTCCATTATATAATATATAATGAACAGCGCATTTCCATTATATAATATATAATGAAAAGCGCATTTCCATTATATATTAAATAACGATTGTGTATGCAAATGTCAATGGTTGGTAACGCCCATAATATGAATATTCATGAGCTTGACTGATATTATTATCCTCTATTCCAGGCACCTTTCCATTTTGTGTTCTTTGTGCATTCTTATCAGAAATCCTACGTGCGGTAAATAAGTCTCTGTATCACCATTCTCCTTCTTATTTGTATGCAGATTTGGTTATAATGATTGATAACTGTAATCATCCTCATTATTTTAATAAGAAATTTTTCTATCTGTGATGGAAGTTTTTATGTACGATTGCCTGATCTGAAGACAAGACTTTCGCTGCATGCATATTTAATGTATGACGTCACCCACACAGAGTGAGAGCTCGAAGTTTTCTTTGAAAGTTTGATGGTGAGTACAGCTGTAATTACGTTCAAATCTCGTAAATTGAATCATATTTATAAACATATCTGCTGTAGGTATGAATCTGCTGATTTGTCTGTACATTATGAAGTGGTTTAAAATGGTTATATCTGATGAATTTAGGAGTAATCTACACTCGAACTTTTGATTCGTTATTTATCGTCGTGAGAAATATTTCAGCTCGATTGCCATCGTCACTCCTTGATCCTTGGCCCAAACTTTCGGGCGAGACCCTCTCTGAAAATTAGATACGAGTATAGGGTCTATAGGCAGATCACTTCACTAGCGCTAGCTGCATCAATGATCCAAGCTTTTTGTTACTTTTAGGTCCAACTGTTGAAAAACTACTTTCATAGTTGGGTCAGAAGAAAGTTAATAGCTAACACTAAGCATGGTCACAGTTGACATGAGTTGTGAACAAGCGCCAAAATTTGGACCAGATACCGAGATAGTTAGACGAGTACGAGAGTAGAAAATTTGAGGCCTAGGCCTACAGACCAGTAAATAATTGGACTACCTGTGAACAGGCGCGGATCCAGGATTTCTTAGGGGGGGGGGGGGCCCAAATTTGAAATTATGTAAGCCAAATTTTGGTACGTAATAGTGACACCGGCAGTGGCGAAATGAGCAAAAACCGGGAGGGGGGAGGGGGGGGGGGGGAGGGGGGTAGACAAAAAAATCTGCACCACCCCACTCTTACATGCAGGTTCCGCTAAACGTTTCTCTAAGTAGGTGGGGGGGGGGGGGGGGGGGGGAGGTATTTACGATCAAGTAGAGCGTTGTGAAATTGGCGTGGTGTCTAAGGGCGAAGAACCTGCGGGGGTCTAGGGGTGGAACCCCCAGAAGCTCAGGGGTATAGGCATTTAATTGCGGTCAGATGAGCATATCAGCATACCTTATTTGTGACACTGGCAGGACACTAATTGGCGTTACTATTCTTTCTTTCTTTATGAATTTGCCATTGTCCCACAAACGCATTAAAAAGTATAATTTATTAAACATTGAGGAAAAATCTCGGAAAATTATGTCATTTCAGCAACATTTGTAAATCACCGGTAATCACCGGTATCGAATTAGAAATAAACCATGTTTGAATTATATTTGGGGGGCATCTGTCACCCCCCCCCCCAAGTCCCCTTCCCCATCAGTATGCCAGTACCCCTCCCCCCGATCTACACGTAACTGATCCCCCCTACCTTTCTTCTTTCTCTTTTTTTCTTTCCCTTTCTCTCCTATTTTCCTTTCCTTTCCCTTCCTACTCTCTGTTTTAGGTTTGCTAGGGGGAGGCAAGGGCCTTTTGGCCCCCCCTCCCCGATCCACACATTGTTGGTGGGATTAATCGCAACTGTTCTCCCCTTCTTATCACCCTTTTCTTTTCTTCTTCCTCTTTTTTGTTCCCTTTTAGCTCTCCTCTATCCCTTTCCCTTCCTTCTCCTTTTTTTTTTTTGGGGGGGGGGGGAGGGAGGAGGCAAGGGCCTTTGCCCCCCCCCCCCCCCCCCCCCCGAACTACAACTTGTTGGCGGGAAAATTGCAACTGATTTCCCCCTTCTTTTCTTCTTCCTCTTTTTTTCCTTCTCTTTTCCTTCTCTTTATCCCCTCTTTACTTTTTTTCTTTCCCTTTCCTTCCTTCTCTTTTATTTTTTGATGGGGGGAGGGGGAGAGGTTACAGCTGGGAGGCAAGGCTCTTTTGGCCCCCCAATCTCCTTCTTTTCCCCCTTTTCTTTTCCTCTTCCTCTTCTTTCTTTCCCTTTCTCTCCTTTTTCCCTTCTTTCCTTATCTCTCTCTCTCTCCTTTTTTTTTTGCGGGTGGGGGGGGGGGGGGGGGGGCCCCCCTGGATCCGTGCCTGCCTGTGAATGTGATACTCGTAGTCGTACAGAGTCTCATAGCTTTCTAACAAATTAAAACACGATTCCCCAAATTAGACTACACTGTATACAGGGGTACGTATAGTGGTGCCTGTGTGTTTCTTAAACTCTTTGATGGCTTAGCCTAATTTGCCTCTGCTCTAGGCTCTATCTTTGAATTTTTGTTTGCTGTAAACACGATTAAGTTTTCTCTGTCATATATAGATCTAGGTCCATACCTTTTTTGCGTTTTTTCAATTTGATAGAATGAACTGTTACGAGACATGCATCTAGATCATCTAGAGACTGTAGATCAACTAGATCTGGATCAAGAAATTGAATATAAATTTCAATGTTAGATAATGAAGGAGGGCTTTTTTGGTAAAGAGAAAATCCAAATTAAAATAGAACAGTTAATTCTGCAAATGCTCATCAATGTTTAAATGATCATGCTCATTTCCTTTTTTTCTAAGAATTAAATCCCCCCCCCCCCTCTCTTTTACAGGAAAATGTACAGAGACTTGTCGCAGTTAATGCAGTACCAAATGCTTGCTTTCTTGGAGTATGTGCTTGAAACAAGAATGTCCTGGAGAAAACAGACCACCACAAGAGAAGGTAAACATATTTACTTTTGATCTAACTTGATCTGTTTAGTTTTTTCAAGTAAAACAAAATTTTGAATAGGTGAGGTCAAGGTCAAACTGAAGGGGATGCAAAGGGCTGGTTTGAGAAGTATGTATTCATGGGATGGCTATGTATGAATCCACATGTCTACTAACACGTTGCTGAAGTGTTTCCCTTTTTAGAATTAACATTTTAAGCTCATGTGCAGGGGAAAAAAGGGGGGGGGGGGTCCAATACATGAAAAGGAACAACAAGCAAAAAAAAAAAATAACAATTGACCTTCAAATTTTGCTGAAAAAGTAAACGTTAAAGACAACTAAAATATTAAATAGTGCTATTTATTTCAAATTTGGTTAATATTTATTGAATTGTTTATAATTCTGTTCCAGGGATTGAGAAGGAGGGCTTCCTGTTGACAGATCAGGGGGTGCCTTGAGGTTCCACTCTTGATGTTCTGCCCCTTACCTGAAAGCGATGGCCTCTTGTGCCTGACATATTAGGAGCAAAGCACAATGGACTGGTAATTAATAATGAATATTGCAATGGTATTTTTTAAATCTGGTAAAGAAACAGATAAAGTCATAGCAAGTGAGCCTGTCATGGCATTTCGAGTGACCAAACATTTGCTCCTGCAACGACTGCTCAAGGCTTTATTTGTCAAATGTGTAGGGTTAGGCCGAGGGTTGCAATTGGGATTGAGGTTAGGTGTAGGGTAAGGTCTAGTGTTGGATCCCGGGATGAAATTGATGTTGAGCAAATGTCTTGAGGAACAAGTGTCGTACAATCAGATTTTCCAGGTGCTGGTGGAGCTGTATGTATTGATACTCATCATTGGCAGTTTAAAAATCTTCCTTTGTATTAGTAAACTAAAAATACACTGACCCCCAGTTTGTGAAACGTGTATCTGATTTTTACGACCTGCTCTATTGTTTAGTGGTTATGTTGTAACACAAAATGAATTCTTAATCTTAATCCTGGATCCATAGCTAAGCGTAATATTAACCCTAAAGCTAATATAAAACCCTATCACAACTTGAGCAATAACCATATATCTTGATGAAATAAAGCTTGTGTTAAGCATTGGCAGACCCAAAGTCAGGTTATCCTAAATTCCTTTCTACATACTGCTATTGTACAAAGTTGATATTTAAGTACATCCCATTGCAAGTTCTAAAATTTCTGTAAAAACCTTACCCTGCTGCAAGATGATAGTGTGTGAAGTAAGTTGGCTCATAGTAGAGCATGAATTATTACCTGCAATTCTCAACCAATACACCCTTGCCACCTGCAATCCATCTCACTTTCATAATATATTCCTTAAACAACATTAACTGAAGTTCAAAATTTTGATTAGTGATTAAGAAAGGCTACAAAGAATTGTATTCTTTTTCACACTCGTATAATAGAGGGGGAGGGGGGGGGGGCAGCCTAGCAGTACAAGATCAAATGATCTTATATGATTATATCCTGCAAGTGTGATAAAGAAAAATATGTTTGTGTACTAAAAGTGAAACAAAAACAAATCACTGGAAACTTTTGGTTGTTAATAACTCAAAAGTTACACTCAAATCAAAACGAGGTTTTCAAAGCTTAAAGTTTAAGGATGTAAATTCTATGCCATTTCTATGAATGCTAATTGCTATTCTTAAAGCCCCACTGTCCTACTTGCTCTCTCTATATAGAAAACTTCCCCAATCGGTGTCTGTTGGTCCCCCATGATCCTCTCTTTCTTATGTTAGTTGAGAGCTGAGTTGATGAGATAGCCACCTGTCAGTGACCTGGCTGGGTGGTCTAATCCCTTCTGGCCCAGTAGTATTGACGGTCTTTAAAACAATGGTCGGAATGTTTGATTAGATCTTTTACTCAGACATGTAGTATATTAGTAATAAAATACATGTTTGGCAATATGGTATTTCATTTCAGACCATAATGAGAAGTAATATTTTAATCTGGGATCTCTCGTTGGCACAGAAAATAAGGAATGTACTCCTGTTGAGCAAACAGTGAATTTATATAAAACTAATAGCCCTTTGAAGATTACTAGAAGAAGAAAAACAACAAGAAAGAAGAAAAAGAAATATACTTGTGATGTCAGCTTTAGAACTTAAAGTGCTTGTAACAATATTGGATTTTGTTTTCTTCTTTCAATTTACATTTTATTCATGAACAGCTGGCTTTGGAATTGGTTACAAAGATACAAGTGGACTTGTCTGTAGTAGTTGCTGAAGAGGAGCAGTCAGCACAAGGAGCGTGTGCCTCCAAAACAATGTGGGAACTTCTCCCAAGTTCATCTCAAATCACAAGGCTCTTCAGGAATCAAGATGTAACAATGGAGGTTGAGAAGGAGTTTGCGACCCTCCTGATTTGGACTACTCGCTATATACATTCTCAAACAATGGATTGTAGCACTTCTGCACAAAACTCAACAAGTCATGATTGAGGAAAACGCAACAAATACTCAGTTGAGCATTGATTTATGTGACTGGTATTAGGGTAGGTTTCAGCTTGGTAATTTTATATAAACTATGTCCCAAAAGAACCTCATTGGTCCTTATGGTTCCACGCCACAAGCTGCTCCCTCCCCTGTTTCGGTATACCGAACCCAGACTATCAAGGGATCAAATGAATTAAAATCCACACTTGATTACAAATGAATTGATCTTTTGAATATTGTCATCATTTCAGGGTGGTTTTGGTTACGGGTTAGTGTGAGCTTTCTGTGCGTAAAATTGAGGGTACTTCGTGCGGAGATCAGTGAATGGATATTTCATGTACAATGCAAGAGAGGTGTCTATCTTCATTGGAATTCAGGATGTGAATTCCAATGAAGATGGCTTGTTTATAAGGAGAGAAGCAAGATAGATTGATGTAAACTTAATGACATCAGGGAATGTTTGCCTGTATTGTTTGAATGACACGGATATTGAATAACATGAAGTTAAGTGGAAAGAATGGCATAATATATTCGATTTGTACACCATCCTATTGAACTTTTTTGAATAGCATTATATGATAACATTTGTGCACAGGTCTATGGAAAACCAGTAAGTGGCATATACAATAAGATCATTTACCGCAGCTCAAGGAATACCGTAGATATCACTTACAGCAGTTGCTGCTATTTGTGCCCACATGCATATTAATATCAAACAGTTGAAGCTAAAACTAATATAATCTAATTAACAGGGTTTTTTTCTCCAATTATCATAACAAGAGAGAAAAACATACTTTTATAATAACTTCCATTATTTCTTTATTTGATCCACAAGACCGAGTAGTCCAGCCCTTGTGAATCTGTATGTTCTCCAGATTTCATTGTCAGGGCCTATCAGGGGGAGGGGGGGGGGGGCGGATCTAGCTTTTTGCTAAGGGGGGGGGGGGGGTTGTCCCTATGACGATGCAGAGCATCGCCCACGAGCCGCATAGCGGCGAGGCGATTAACGCATTTATAAGATGGATTTTTTTTTTCTCTCTCTCTCTCGCTGTCTCACTGCATCATAAATTTTTCATTTTCACAACATCAACATCTCTCACCATTAAACAGTTCTCTCATTTCCTTTCCTTTCTCTTTTGCTCTCTCTCTCTCTCTGAACTCTCACATTCTGTTTCCAGATTTTTTCCACATATGATTCTATTTATCCAACCATATATGCACACTAAAAAGAAAAGATATGAAGGGAATACTGTATATAAGATAATAAACATGTTTAATTTATTCATTTTCTTACAACAAACTAATATGTTTACAGATTATAACATTGATGGTCAAATATTAAGCACAAATGACCTCATCTGCTACTTCCATTTGTAGATTACTTTTTTCTTTAAAAATTCAACAAAGCATACTTAGGCTAAATCTGAGCACTATTTTTTTCTCCAGGGAATGTATTGTATCATGACCTGCATCCTTATTATAAAACACATTATAAAAACATGCTGATTTCTTTTAAAAAAAATATATATACCTATGACTCAATGATTGCAATTTTTTCCAGAGAAACAATAATACTGTACAATAGTATATAACATCCTTTAGTGTGATGGTTACTCCGTGGTCCACACACGCACCAAGGTATATCAGACCTTTTATTAACAGTTGCTTGTTTTATACAATATATAAATCATACTCATAGGCCCATTACCAAATGTTATAATTATTATCAATAAACAGAAATTGATAAAAGATGACCCCTCCCCAAAACTCTTATATTCCAAAAGTTTGATCTTGGCTGACAGGTGGTAACTTGAGTACTTGACTACATCTTATTTGCCCTATAGACACATACTTAAAATGGATGCCTTGGCAAAGCCTCAGTTTTATAAATGATTGCTTGACTTAGACTGCCGATGAACATATTTCTTGTGTATTTATCTACACCATTAACTTTTCTCCACATCGTGCTGTCAGATCGAGATGCTTTGGTGTGATATACTTAATATTTTACATCATGTTTTTAATGAACTCCTACCTTGCTTAGTTATGCAGACATTGGGCCCTTTTTTTAAAACTTGCGATAGCAGTGGAAAGGATGTGCATAAAAGAAGAGGCGGGACTACCATGTACTACTACAACATGGGTAAAATTGCATCATTGTATTATACCTTGGTTCCTGGTTACCTCTCCTTGGTAGTTTGAAAACTATGTTTCAGTACCGGTAATCATTGTAATAGTGTTTCTGTTTCATGGTGTCACTAGTGTGGTTGTGTGTATGAAGGCCAAATTTTCTATTTTCCTGCTTCGCCTGTCCACAATCACTAAACAATTTGAGCTGAAATACAGGGCCTAATATACAAGGTGATTAAAAAATTAAACATACTGCTTGCAAGGTGAAGTTACACGTACTGCTTGAAGAGAATTGTGAATGATATTTATCTATTGGGAGTTTGACCAAATCCAGGTTAAAAAATTTCAGCTTCGGAGGGGGGCACATTACCCCTCAACCCCCCCCCCCCCCCCCTGTGCGCGCTTTTGACTGATGTGTCCCCCCCAGGAGTGGCGGAGCGTCTTCCAAAGTGGGGGGGGGGGGGCACCAACAAAATAGGCACTTTCTGGAAAAAAGGGAATCTCAAAGTGAAAATATCCATTTTTTTAGACAATGGTATATACCCCTACATTGTGATTACATTATCAGGGACGATTTCAACATTTGTTTCTCTTTATACACCATACAAGATATTGCTTAAGTATCAGTTTGGTGTGATGGTCTGAAAATTGATTTGCGAGCGAGGAAAATTTTAAGTTTTGTGAGTTCGCAGTACAAAAATTTCATCTTATTAAGAGGGAAAAACCCAATCCTAATGGGGTTATAAGCACATTCTCACCATGGAAGACTGAAAAGACCTTTAATAAGTAACGTAATTATATCATCTATAAATGCGAGCGAGCTTTGGGGGGAGTTACTCTTAGTCGCTTGAAATTAGGGGCGCGTTTAATGATGAGAGAAAAAGGGGACACTAAAGGGATAAGGGGAAAAGGAGCATGTGTCATGTAAAAAGGGTAATTATCAGAGGTGAAAATGGGGCACTTCTTAGACCTACAGAAAGAGCCACTCACCAGGAATGAAGAAAGGCACTTTTGAGAATGGGAAATGGCATTTTTCAACGGAATAGGGGCACCCACCAGATTTTGATAGGGGCATGTATGAAAAGGGGATAGGTCCCTTTGGTATTGGAAAGGAAAAGAGGCACGTATCATTGTTAAAAGGGAATTTATCAAAAGGTGAAAAGAGATGCTAGTCTTATTGCGCATGAAAAGGGGCACTGACCAGATAATAGATATGAAAAGGGTTACTTAAAAAAAAAAGGAAAAAGTGCAATAGTTTTAAAACAAGGTAAACGCTCTCGGCGGTCTCGTCTGCATTATGCAATTCGAAATGATGAAAAATTGAGGTTGGAACATTATTTATAGGCAGGGTGGCCCATTAGCAGGACCCCAAAAATGAAATCCTCTGAATATAATCATCATTTTGAAGTGAATATTGACTAAGAATCATCAGAAGAATTATTTACTATTAATTGTACCATGATTGATAACTTGAATGAAATATGAACAAATTAATTAAAAAAATTGATTTATTAATTCTCATATTAATTAAGTTGTGAAAACATAATACAAGTCTGCTGACCTAAAATGAGCTTTGACCTTGTAACCTTTGACCTTGTGACCTGGAATTTGTGTCATATGATTTGTGATACATGAAAACCCTTGGGTACAAGTTTCATGGAATTTGAACAAACAATTTTGAAAATATGCTAAAAATTCAATATCTTCATGTTGATGCCACAACAAAGTCTAGGTTTGTTGACCTAAAATGACCTTTGACCTTAACTTAGTGACCTGAAATTCTACTCACATGATTGTGGATACTTGATAACCCTATAGTCCAAGTTTCATTGACTAAGAACTTATACTTTCAAAATTATATTAAAAATTCAAAAACTTAAAGATGAAGTTGAGTTCTGGTCATGCGATTGCATTGTGAAAGAAACGGTGTGGAATCGACCAGAAAAGGTTGATCATCTAGCATATAACAATTTGTGTGTATTGCAAGGTTCTGGAATCATCAAAATGATAAGAAATTTGGCCAAGTCTTGGGAAAGTTACAAACACTGTACACAGAAAGATATATATGGTACACAACAAACACATGGCGTAAAAATCCTACCCCCGAGTTTTACGATGTTACATGACATATTTAGAATATGAAGGCATTTGAAGAGCCATGCTTTTCAGGGAACATGTCTTATCTGATGTTCTTCCACACTTGCATAATAAGAATCATAACGCTCACAAATTATTTTTCACCTCTTCCCAGTACTCAACCTTCTCTTTAACCTTAGGTTAAGTTTTCGATGATGATGCCACAACATAGTCCAAGTCTATTGACCTGAAATGACCTTGACTTTGTGACCTGAAATTCTACTCACGTGATTGGGAATACTTGATAACCCTATAGTCTAAGTTTCATTGACTAAAAACTTAAACTTTGAAAATTATATCAAAAATTCAAAAACTTAACCTTAAGTTAAGTTTTTGATGTTGACACCGTCGCCGTCGCCGCCGCCGTCACCGGAAAAAGCAGCGCCTATGTCTCACTTTTTGCTCGTAGGCGAGACAAAAAGGGAGGTGCAGATCAGATTTTAATAGGGGCATTTATTGGAGGTGAAAGGGGGCTATTATGAGAACGGGGAAGTGGCTCTTATTAAAAAGAAAAAGAGGCACATGTTAAAGTAAACAAGGCACTTATGAGAGATGAAAAGGGGTAATTATGAGAAGGGTAAGGGGTACTTATGATCAGAAAAAAGAGCATTTATTAGGAAGGAAAAGGGGGCATGTCAAATAAAAGTGGCAGTTATTAGAGACAAAATGGGACACTCATCAGAGATGAAAAGAGCACTAATCAGGAGATGGAGGGGGCACTTATCAAAAGTGAAAGGGGGCATTTCTCGTAGTTGAAAAGGGGCACTTACTAGAGATTAAAAAGGACAGTTATGAGAATGGAAAATGAACACTTATTGCAAAGAATAATGGGAACTTGTCGGAGGATAAGGGGCACTTATCAGAGGTGAAATGGGGAAGGGGCAATTTTACAAATTAATAAGGGAACTTGTCAAAGTAATATGGCACTTTACCTATGTGAAAAGGCCATAAAAGGGGCATACTGGGGGTACTTGAAAAAGTGGGGGGGGGGGGGGGGCACTGACCCCTCCCCCCTGGCTAACAACATATCTCCGCCACTGGTTATGAAGTTTATAATACCAAGGTTTTGATACCCAGTCGCAGCTCCAGCAGTTCATTGAAGAGGCTAAGTAGAACTTCATAGTCCATACTGTACATGTATGTCTGTTGAATGAAAAGAGAAGAGAATGAAAGTAAAACATTGATACCTACATCATACATGTATCTCTGTTGGAACATAAAAATGTCTTGCATGTACATTGTAGGACTAGGCCTCAAATTTTTTCATGTGGAATCATACATAGCCATCCCATTAATACATACTTCTCAAACCAGCCCTTCGCATCCCCTCCAGCTTGGCCTTGACCTCACTCATTTCAAAATGTTGTTTTACTTGAAAAATATAAACAGATCAAGTTAGATCAAAAGTAAATATGTTTACCTTCTCTTGTGGTGGTCTGTTTTCTCCAGGACATTCTTGTTTCAAGCACATACTCCAAGAAAGCAAGCATTTGGTACTGCATGCATTAACTGCGACAAGTGTCTCTGTACATTTTCCTGTAAAAGAGAGGGGGGGGGGGGAATTTAATTCTTAGAATAAAAGGAAATGAGCATGATCATTTAAACATTGATGAGCATTTGCAGAATTAACTGTTCTATTTTAATTTGGATTTTCTCTTTACCAAAAAAGCCCTCCTTCATTATCTAACATTGAAATTTATATTCAATTTCTTGATCCAGATCTAGTTGATCTACAGTCTCTAGATGATCTAGATGCATGTCTCGTAACTGTTCATTCTATCAAATTGAAAAAAACGCAAAAAAGGTACGGACCTAGATCTATATATGACAGAGAAAACTTAATCGTGTTTACAGCAAACAAAAATTCAAAGATAGAGCCTAGAGCAGAGGCAAATTAGGCTATGCCAACAAAGAGTTTAAGAAACACACAGGCACCACTATACGTATCCCTGTATACAATGTAGTCTAGACTGAATATTTTTTTTTTGGGGGGGGGGTCGTGTTTTAATTTGTTAGATAGCTACAAGACTCTGTACGACTACGGGTATCACATTCACAGACAGGCGCGGCCGAGCGGGCCTTGGCCCCCCCCCCCCCCCCCCCCCCATCCGCAAAAAAAAAAAAAAAAAAAAAAAAAAGAGAGAGAGAGAGCAGGAAAAGAAGGGAAAAAGGAGAGAAAGGGAAAGAAAGAAGAGGAAGAAGAAAAGAAAATGGGGAAAAAAGGAGATCAGGGGGCCGAAAGGGCCTTGCCTCCCAGCTGTAACCTCTCCCCCTCCCCCATCAAAAAATAAAAGAGAAGGAAGGAAAGGGAAAGAAAAAAAGTAAAGAGGGGATAAAGAGAAGGAAAAAAGAGGAAGAAGAAAAGAAAGGGGAAATCAGTTGCAATTTTCCCGCTAACAAGTTGTAGTTCGGGGGGGGGGGGGGCAAGGCCCTTGCGTCCTCCTCCCTCCCCCCTCCCCCCCCCCCCAAAAAAAAAAAGGAGAAGGAAGGGAAAGGGATAGAGGAGAGCTAAAAGGGAACAAAAAAGAGGAAGAAGAAAAGAAAAGGATGATAAGAAGGGGAGAACAGTTGCGATTAATCCTGCCAACAATGTGTGGATCGGGGAGGGGGGGGGGGCCAAAAGGCCCTTGCCTCCCCCTAGCAAACCTAAAACAGAGAGTAGGAAGGGAAAGGAAAGGGAAATAGGAGAGAAAGGGAAAGAAAAAAAGAGAAAGAAGAAAGGTAGGGGAGATCAGTTAAGTGTAGATCGGGGGGGGGGGGGGGGGGGGGGGGGGCACTGGCGTACTGATGGGGGGGGGGGGGGGGGGTGACAGATGCCCCCCAAATATAATTCAAACGTGGTTTATTTCTAATTGATACCGGTGATTACCGGTGATTTACAAATGTTGCTGAAATGACATAATTTTCCGAGATTTTTCCTCAATGTTTAATAAATTATACTTTTTAATGCGTTTGTGGGACAATGGCAAATTCATAAAGAAAGAAAGAATAGTCACGCCAATTAGTGTCCTGCCAGTGTCAAAAATAAGGTATGCTAATATGCTCATCTGACCGCAATTAAATGCCTATACCCCTGAGCTTCTGGGGGTTCCACCCCTTGACCCCCGCAGTTTCTTCGCCCTTAGTCACCACGCCAATTTCACAACGCTCTACTTGATCGTAAATACCCCCCCTCCCTCACCTACTTAGGGAAACGTTTAGCGGAACCTGCATGTAAGAGTGGGGTGGTGCAGATTTTTTTCAAATTTGGGCCCCCCTAAGAAATCCTGGATCCACGCCTGTTCACAGGTAGTCCAATTATTTACTGGTCTGTTGGCCTAGGCCTCAAATTTTCTACTCTCGTACTCGTCTAACTATCTCGGTATCTGGTCCAAATTTTGGCGCTTGTTCACAACTCATGTCAACTGTGACCATGCTTAGTGTTAGCTATTAACTTTCTTCTGACCCAACTATGAAAGTAGTTTTTCAACAGTTGGACCTAAAAGTAACAAAAAGCTTGGATCATTGATGCAGCTAGCGCTAGTGAAGTGATCTGCCTATAGACCCTATAGGCCTACTCGTATCTAATTTTCAGAGAGGGTCTCGCCCGAAAGTTTGGGCCAAGGATCAAGGAGTGACGATGGCAATCGAGCTGAAATATTTCTCACGACGATAAATAACGAATCAAAAGTTCGAGTGTAGATTACTCCTAAATTCATCAGATATAACCATTTTAAACCACTTCATAATGTACAGACAAATCAGCAGATTCATACCTACAGCAGATATGTTTATAAATATGATTCAATTTACGAGATTTGAACGTAATTACAGCTGTACTCACCATCAAACTTTCAAAGAAAACTTCGAGCTCTCACTCTGTGTGGGTGACGTCATACATTAAATATGCATGCAGCGAAAGTCTTGTCTTCAGATCAGGCAATCGTACATAAAAACTTCCATCACAGATAGAAAAATTTCTTATTAAAATAATGAGGATGATTACAGTTATCAATCATTATAACCAAATCTGCATACAAATAAGAAGGAGAATGGTGATACAGAGACTTATTTACCGCACGTAGGATTTCTGATAAGAATGCACAAAGAACACAAAATGGAAAGGTGCCTGGAATAGAGGATAATAATATCAGTCAAGCTCATGAATATTCATATTATGGGCGTTACCAACCATTGACATTTGCATACACAATCGTTATTTAATATATAATGGAAATGCGCTTTTCATTATATATTATATAATGGAAATGCGCTGTTCATTATATATTATATAATGGAAATGTGCTTTTCATTATATATTATATAATGGAAATACGCCTCTCATTATATATTATATAATTGAAATGTGCTTTTCATTATATATTATATAATGGAATGTGCTTTTCATTATATATTATATAATGGAAATGTGCTTTTCATTATATATTATATAATGGAAATACGCTTTTCATTATATGTTATATAATGGAAATGTGCGTTTCATTATATATTATATAATGGAAATACGCTTTTCATTATATATTATATAATGGAAATGGCTTTTCATTATATATTATATAATGGAAATGTGCTTTTCATTATATATTATATAATTGAAATACGCTTTTTATTATATATAAATAATGAAAGTGTGAATTGTAATTATTTATAAATAATGGCAATTATATATAAATAATGAAACGTTCTTTGTCATTATTTATAAATAATAAAAATGTGTTAAGAATTATATACAAATAAAAATGTACATTTTCTTGCATTATATGTAAATAATGGTTATGATTTGTTAAATAATGATTATATAACATATAATTTGCCTATATAATTGTTTTACAAACGGCGCCTCATACTCATCTTCTGATTGAGTTTAAAAAAATAAGAAGAAAGTTCCTCCGCCACTCACCCCCCTCCCCCTCCAAAGAAAAAAAGAACCCCCGACAAAATCCGTAACACTTTTGCGAGATTTCTATGACGTCATTTTGAATGAACAAAAATCTGTTGACCTTTTGAAAGGTTCCAATCCAGATATATAAGGTTAACACTTAAAAGTATTTCCTCTTTCGTCATTGATCGCACATGAATGTATGTTTATTTTTCGAAATGCTCATGAATAATGTAAAAAGCGTTCATGATACTTGTGGGTGATCCTTTAAATGGACTCGAGAACCTTGAGAGCTTCATGAAAATACTTTGAAGCATCAAGTGGAATGTGTTCGTGCAAGGAATTTCTATCTCATATGATAGCAAATATTTGGACTACATGGGTTTAAAGGTAAAGTTTACTTCATAGGACTACATTATGAAAGAAGCTGTCTACAATCTTTAGGGAGAAAAAAACTATGAGTGTATGTTGTACGGTTTTAGAAGTATCAAAACGATATAGGAAATTGACCCAATCTTGCTGAAGATCGCAAGCACTACACGCAGAAATGAGTATGTTGGAAAACAGACACGTTTGACATGCATCTCTAGTCCACACTGTTTACCTTTTTATCGTCATATTTTGAATTTGAGGGCATTTGAAAAGCAAGCATTTTCGGGGGATATTTTCTACTATGATATTCTTTCCAAATGACATGACACGGAAGAGAAAGCTTTAAGAATGTTCACTATTCTTAGTTCCTTACTATAGCACTTGTATAATGAAGTGCCAGATAGGATGCCCAAAGTTTTGTCTGATATTTCCAATAACCTCAATTAAATTATGGCAAAAAATATACTTTGCATTAAAGATTTTTGTTATGATAAGAATGTTAATCTACATCTGCACAGTTCAACTTTAGTTGATGCAGTTAATAATGATTGAGCATCCCATTTGGCTTTTCATATACAAGTCGTTCGTAAAGTCATGCGTAACTTTACGAACAGCTTTATGAAACAGCTCCAGGGCTGAATTCAGCAACACTCCCGAGGACAAAGACATTCACCAAGCTCTTGAAGACATTGTAAGCCAATGCTCACTCCAAGACAGGGTGACAGATACCATGAAACCATCTATTGGTACTTTTAAAGTGCTTTTCGATAGATGTCCCAAGGCAATCCATAGAGTCAAAGACACAGAGCAAAGGAATAAGTTTAAATTGAATTTTCACACTCTTAGCTGCTCACTGTCGTGAAAATATACACCAAGGCTTATTCAACAATAGAAATATTGGTAGACAGAACAAAAAGAAAATCTTGGATCACCAACCACGACGTGACAAGATGCACTTTCCGAGAAAAAAAGCAAGAACATGAATACCATCATTGACCATTACAAGGAATCGGATACTCAAGTGATAGAATCTGACGGCGGTTTCAAATCCATTAGTTTTTACAATACTTGTAAGATTACAAGTGATTTGATTTCAACCACTTTGACAATAATTTCAGCGCAGCTTTCTCCGCCAGCTATATGATCAAGTATCGATAGGGAGGAATATTGTGGTCGCATTGCGTCGTCTGCAAATAGGATTTTTGAAAATGATATACATTATCCCTTGAAGGGATGAAACATCTGGCCAAACATGCTATGGCTGTTCTTTATATTATTGTTCCAAAGTGTATCCCTCAATCAATGGGGAGGGGCGCTGGCAATCACAAGATTTGGAGTTTTCCAGAAGGGGACGCTTTGACTGAAGGCAGATTCGGTTTCCCAGGCGGATTCCGTTCCGTTGCCGAATTCGCCGACTGATCGGCGTATTTTGCGCTCTTGACAGAATGGTAACGCGGCATGCAGTCGGCGAAAACTGGGACACGCCTGGAAGACAAGATGTTCTATTTTGCCGCTCCTTTCATTTCATGTTATAATTAAAATGTTCAGTTTGTAACGGCTATGTATTACAATGTATTTACGATCAGTTTCACTGACGTTATTTCGTTAGTGACGCAAATGCTCTCTTAATGATGAATTATGTGGAAGAAAAAAAAACGACTTTCATGTAATCCACCCTGAATTTTGGTGACGGAACCTAACCCGCCAGACAACCGTTGGCTATCCACCGTAACGATATATTCGTTTTATCGTCGAAGGGCTGATTGAGCTAAAAGTATTTTGGTAGGATGTATACTGTTCCTTATTCACACCGTCAAGCAGACTCTATAATCCGACTCCACCCCGTCCTCAAACCGATTGATTCAGGCCATTATTTTGTAGAAATGCAATATTTTATTCCGTCTGATGTCGGTCTGGTGTCAGTCTCGTTGATGTGACTGAGATGATGAGGCCTCTGCACAACAAACACGACAGATGGCAAAAACGACACAGCAGCTAGCCTTGCTAGACGACACACGACAAAAATCTGTTCACATCATACACGAAATTAGATAAAATGTCGTGTATGGTATGATGGCAAAGTCGTTCAGTCGTACTGCAAAAAATTGCTTGAAATGACTCAAAATGTCGTGCATGACCTTCTTAATTAATGTTGTTGTCAGTGCGCACGCTGCTATAAGGTTTACATTAATTTAATAGAGTGATTTCTACAAAATTTTGCATATCATCATTGTGTCTCGGCGTGGTGTAGTATCGTTTTATCGTTTGTCGTGTTTAGTGTGAAGAGCCCTAACTTAATCAGGCCAAACAGACACAAAACTTCGATCTTTAATGTAACCACGCACTGTGATAATGATATATACCATTAGCGACTACCCCCTCCCCCTCTATGTCCCCTCCCTCCCCTCTCTCGCTAGCTGTCTCTTTCTCTTTCTCCATTTCTCCCTTCCTACCTCCTTCCCACTCCCATTTCCTATAGTTGCTATATAATTGATATATATTCATTTTTTTATGTTCTGTTCCGAGCACTGGTTATTGCACTTTGTACCTTCCATAATATCACAGTAACTTATTAAGTGTAAAAAATTGATTTTTGTACGTAATCCAACCCCCTATTATGCTGATGTTCACAGCTGCATCATTCCATACTTTCACACATCACCAACACTAAGACAGTGATATTTATACCTCCATTATAACACCAATGGACACACGAGCATGATTGAAGGGGATTGGGGAAAACATTCGGCCCAAAAACATGGCTGGTCACATCTTTCTCAGATATAAATCCCAGTCACACCAATAGGGACTTTTAGATTTGCACAACGACAACGTGGATTGCTACGATCGACGTCCTTTTAATGCACTGACTTGAATGGACGTCACATGTATCAGTCCACGCAAATCTAAAAGTCCCTATTAAGACCGACACAAGACCGACTCCTGACAGAACCCCCCCCCCCAAAAAAAAAAAAAAAAAAAAAAATCAACAAATCAACAAATCACAAATCAACAAATCAAACAAATCAACAAATCAACACAAAATGTAAAAAAATCAACAAGAAAAAATCGAGGAAAAAAAAAAAAAAAAAAATCTAAACAAAATCTGATTACTTCCAGTGGCAAAGAATCGGTTGATACCAGAGTTGACTTTGAGTCGGTTTGGCCATTTTGTTTTGCAGTATGACTAAGGTATCATAAACCATTTGTAAGTCAATAATGTGCTCACTCTCTTCGCTCGCTCGACGGTCAACGTAACATACATTATTTGTTTAAACAATATTGGAAATATTCCTTTTATCCGATAGAACGGGGTATTGGGTAATGTCCGTTTGTTCCGGGGTTTCAATCTTTCCGACAAGGTTTTCCAGGTTCCTTTATTCTTTTCCTGCCAAAACGAACCTTTCGGCTACTCCACCCTTCGGGGCAAACTATGACCATACGACTGGTTTCCTCGCTTAACTATAAGGATATCTATAAATAAGCTAGTTTTGTTTGTATTGCTCCCCCCCCCCCCCCAAGTCCCAAGGGCTGGTGACACTACTCAATGGACAGTATAACGTCAAAAAGCTTAAACTGATCGATGTATGTCACCTCCGGAATTGAGCCGACATTCTCTGCAGGAGGATCTCAACTAGTTTTGTCCCGAGCCGAACACCCCCACTCTGCTATACCAGGATGTAATACTACTTAGTACCATAATTATATCCCCCAGCAGAATCATCCCCCAGTGGCTGTCTCCTGGTGGAGTTGCGGTTTAAGTGAGTGATATGGAAGAGTGAAAAAAGGGAGAAAATACAACATAAATGTTAAGTTAGCCATCACTCTGTGTGCACATCTATCATGAGAAATCCGATCTCTCCTATATATTACATATTTGCCACATCCCTGTAATATTAGATGTTTCCCCATTTAAATCCCATTAGCACTTTATTTCG